AGTATGGACTGCATGAAATCATTCTGTTTGTCTGGGCCCAGCAACAAAGAGTCCATAGCTTGTTCTTCCAGCACTGACAGCAACATGCAAATTCCTAGAGAAGAATGGGAAAAAGGAAGCAACCTGTCTGCATATTTGCAAGAATTTGTTCAGATTTTCACCAAATCCAGGATCATTTTCCAAATGCCATTACCAGTGAAACACGTGAGAAAAGAGATGAGCAGCAATATGAAACTAATTAAACAAAACCTCATCACTGCAGCTGTGCAACATTCAATTCTCCCTTTGACACAGCACCTATGAAACTGCAGAGCTCTGACTTGAAACAAGTGCTTACAAATGTGAGAGACTCCAGAGATTCATTTCTGATCATAAATACTCACCCAGCCAGTAGTTCTTGTAGTTGGTTGTATCATACAAGTGTGCTGGCAGAAGGATGAGTTTACCCTTCTCATACATTGAAGAGCTGTAAATATCTGGATTCTCAAAAAGCCCCAGCTCAATAACTTTGAACAAACAAGTCAGCACTTCCTCTAAGTCATAGTAATCATCCCTGTCAACCTTCCCTAAATTCCTTGCTGTTAGGATGGCCCAGCGGCGAATCTATGGATTGAAATAAAAAGGGATGCATTAATAAAGAGAACAAATAAAAATCACAATTCTCTAAGATTACCATTGCTACTACAAATGGGAAAAAGGCATATTTTACTAATAGAATAATTAAAAATCAGTCTTTATCCAAAATAACCTTAGGACCAGGCTCAGCATACAGCACTCAGTATTAACATGCTGCATGAAACCAGAATTCCCTGGAATTCAGCAGAAGAGAAAGAGGAACTTACCACCTCATTGGGGTGCACCAAAAAGAGATAAATTCCTGGGTATTTTTCAAAGACCTGAAAGGAGTCATGGCCGAGTTCCATCCTACAGAGCACTTCCACACACAGCTCACCTAAAAGGGTAAGACACAGTTGCAGTAAGGACTAATCTGTAGGCTCACAAAAAAACCCCAAACAACTACTTAGTGTCAAAATAAACAAAGAAGATATATACACGCACACTGATATTTTGGCTTAACTACTACTTGTTATTTTCACCCTCTTCACTGGAAACAACACCATTCCCTCCACAGGTGTACGATCAGATACTCACTGACTCTCTCATGCAGCAGCAAGTAGGGATATTTCAGGATTTCTAGAAGGGGCACTCGCAGGTTATTCTCAAAATCAGGGCCCACGTAACCAGACAGCCGAGTCTCTCCATTCTCATCCACTAGAAACAACTCATCCTCTTCCCCCCCTTCTTCCTGCATGGATTTCTCCATGTGGGCAACAAGACGGGCCGTTTCCAGGTCCCACAGGTCCTGTTCACAGTGGGGGGAAAAACAACTCATCAAAGTGCATTTGTGAAGGAGGTGATTTAAGGGCATTTATTATCACACGTAGACACTTAAACCGAACTTCCAAAATTTCAGATTTCATTTTGAAAAGCTTCTTCCTAAGCGTGGCACAAAACCCTGAAGCTTTGGCACGGAATTCAACTGTGCAAACCACAAAACTCTCACTTCAGGTTAGCAATTTTTTAAAAGAGCAGCCTTCAAACCAGGAGCAATTTCATAATTCTGCTAAACATTCGTATTTCAGTGATTATTTCAGGCCACTGGCCAATACAAGGAAGGACATAGGTATAGAAAAATATCGTATTTAGGAAGATGGGAAAAGCAATTTTGTCATGTTGCCCTCTCGTGGATTTTGCAATTAACAGAAGGAAAACAACATAAACATTGCAAACAGACCAACTGACTGGCTGGATATTTGTAGGGATTTGCTCACTCTACATGGACACTGGATACTAGTGAGGGAGAATTGCAAAATACTTCTAATAAAAAATTAAGGGGTTTCAAACTTTTCTGATTGCTTTTAATTGCACGGTCTCACAGACTTGCAAGGCCTGACCTCTGAAATTCAAACAGAGTAGAAAACTACAAGCGAGAAGTGAAAGCAAACAAAAAAAGGAAAGTAAAAAAAAAAAATTGCAGAAATGTTAGTCTGGCAGATGTTCTTTGTTTCACATGACAAAGCAGCACAGCGTGAATAAAGTCCAAGCTATACTGTCTAGTCAGCAACTTCCCACTACTGGTTTAGTTCTTGCTAATTTGAATATATGCAAAACAAGAGGGTCTTCACTTAACAATCAGCTGTTTACAGCTCCACGTGAAAAGGGCACAGTTCAAAATCAACACACCCCGTTCCCAAAAAACAGTAAAACACAACCCCGGTGCAAAACTCCCCCTACACTGAGGCTGGCACACACAGAGAAGCCTCTTAATTAATCCCTTAATTACCTTATGCAACCTTGGGCATTCTTGCCTTGCCTTGTGGTATTCAACCACACACTCCAGGCAGTAACTGAGATCATCGTTGGATCCCTCAAACTCGTCCTGGGACAGCTGTTCAGTGGCATAGTGCTTCAGGAACTCGGTGGTGTCAGGGCCACTCGGGGTGCACCATCGGCATGTGCTCATTCTAGGGGTGGGAAAAACGAGGAATTAATAAAGTCCAAGGCCTGGAAGAGGCAAAATGTTTCCCAGTAGCTCACAACAGCAGTTACTTTTCAGGTGTGGCGAGCTTCAGGATTTCTGGGCTCGTTAACAGAGTAGATGCAGGTGTTCTTATATATTCCTACAGGTGCAGGCAGTTAAACAGATTAAAGCATTAAAGGAACATCATCACAAAGAAATACCCTTACTGCTTGCCATTCCTCAGGCAAAGCACCAAAGAGAAGCTGAATTTGCAGACTGTGAAATAATGAGTGAAAATTCATTTTTCACACACACACACACACACACACAAAAATATCCTCACCCACAAATAATGCAATTTCCAGACCTACAATGCTAAAGCTCTTTATATTAATTTACAGGTGACTGTGGAATCTAGGTCTAGTGGCACAGAATTTAATTAGCTTTTTTCCTTAATCTCCTGCTAAAATTTATAGGTCAACAAATCCCTCTTGTCACAAGCAAAGGATATTTAGGGAGAACTTCGCTGTCTTCATTACTGTTAAGAGTTACAAAGTGTGACAGAATTCTCACCACAGGTTGCTTCCTCTAAAAACAGAAGTTCTTCACTAAGCAGCAGCAGAGTCGTCTCAGACCCTGCTGGTCTGAAAAATTCAGCAGAACACTGGAATCACAGAATGGTTTGGGTTGGAAGGGACCCTAAAGACCATCTCATTTCACCCCCTGCCATGGGCAGGGACACTTTCCACTAGCTCAGGTTGCTCCAAGCCCTGTCCAACCTGGCCTTGGACACTTCCCAGGGATGGGGCAGCCTCAGCTTCTCTGGGCAACCTGTGCCAGGGCCTCCCCACCCTCACAGGGAACAGATTTCTTCCCAATATCTCCTCTAACCCTGCCTCTCTGTCAGTGTGAACCCATTCACCCTGGTCCTATCACTACAGTTCCTGATGGAGAGTCCCTCTCCAGCTTCCCTGTAGGCCCTTTCAGATACTGGAAGGCTGAAAAAGCACAAACACTTGAACTAAGTGTATGAAAAGAAAGATGGTAACTGCCTCCCTTATTCAGCGTAACAAAGAAAGCCAGACAAAGCCAAACCATAGTCCTCATGTTGGGAAAACCCCAACAATCACCTCCGTGGCCTTTACCTTTGGAAAGGGAAGCTCTTTGCTGTGCAGGTGTGCCAGTCACATGGTGGGAAGCAGAACAGCACTGCCCTGCAGGCAGGAAAGGCAGCTGAGCCCTTCAGCCATCCATGCCCTGAGAGCAGCACAGCAGAGCAGAGTCCTCAGCAATCCATCCCCTGGCCACCAAGTCCCGGCGGTATTTCGAGGATCTACAGCAGCAAAACAGAAATCAAACCACTGAGTCACAGAATCAATCAAAAGTGCCCCCTGAGATCCTCGGGTCCAGCCTGTGACTGGTCACCACCTTGTCAGACCAGAGCACTGAGTACCACCTCCAGCTGTTGCCTGAACAACTCCAAGGATGGCAACTCCACCACCTCTCCGGGCGGCCCCTTCCAGTGTTTAACAGCCCTTTCTTGAACAAATTCTTCCCGCTGTCCAACCCGAACATCCTCTGGCACAGCTGCAGGCTGTGTTACCTCCCCTGTCACGGGCTGTGGGGGAGAACAGGCCGACCCCCACCTTGCTCCAACCTCCTCGCGGGCAATAAATCACCACAAATAGTCTCAGAATCGCTCTGGCATTTAGGATAACACAGGTTCCATTGAGCGGACCCCACGAAGCGATAAGGAGGCTCTGCAACCGAATCCCTCCTGTCCTTCCAGCTGGGCGGGTACGACAACACCCGCTTGGTCGAGGAAAGAAGTAAACATTTATCTACGCACGCTAAGCAAGGAAACCGCTTTAAAGCACGCATACCAACCTGGGCTGCGAGCGGCGCCTTCCCCCGTAACGCCGCTACCGGCTGAGGAGCCCCGGCCCCCGCAAGCGCTTTCGGTTTCGCGGTTGGAGCAACCCCAATAACCCCAATAACCCCAATCCCGCCTCCAACCCCCGCAGCGCCCCGTGCGCCCCCCAACAGCCCCCCTGGGCCCCGCCGCCCTTCCCGCCAAGCGGGGCCGGCCCGACGCGAAGGGCGCTGAGGCGGCCTGAGGGCCCCGCGCTCGGGGCGCGCCGGGGGCAGCGCGGCGGTGGCGGCGGCTCCGGGCGGGCGGTCCCGCCGCTCCCGCTCCTCTCTGCTCTGCTCTGCCCTCACCTCACTCCGCTCCCCCCGCTCCCGGCGGTGCCGCCCTGAGGCCGCCGCGCCCCCCACGTTTCCGGGCGCAGTCGGAAGCGGGCGCTCGGTTACCCGGGCGGGAGGGGCCTTAAAGGGCCAGCGAGGGGGCGCTGAGGGGCGGGCAGCCCTCCAGGGTGGAATTAAATAAGGAGTGGAATAGTAAAATCCCACCCCAAACGCGCGCCCGGCTCCAGCTGCCTGAAGTTGTTGCCCGTAATGAGAACACAAACTAACAGAGTGTCAGTTTATGCGGTGCTTTATTCAGGGCCCGGGGTCCCTGTGGACTCCTGTCCCAAGACAGGTACCCAAAGACCCACATTTTGAACGCATCTTTTATACTATTTTCCAAGCAAGGTTACATGATTGGTTTTACATTTCACAGGAGACATAGCAGTTAAACATAAACTTACATATCACTTTGATTATATTCAAATATTAATCCATTTACCTGACTGTTAATCCATTTACCTAACTGTAAACATCGTGTAATTAAATCCCACCACCAGATTACATCCTATCTCTAGTTGCAAATTTTTCTTGTCTCGGTTCTGCTTGACTTATTGTTTCTTTTTGGTCAGCACAGCCTTAATGTCTAAGCAGTCCCAACTTAGCTCTGACAAGCCCTGACTTGTTTCTGGCAGGGGCCTTTTCAGGCCTATGCTCCAGACAAGCCTTGACCAAACTGCAACAAAGTGATGCCCCCGGGGGCGCGGGGGTTCCTGGTGCGGTGGAAGCCGCTCGTGGATGCCCCTGGTGCCTCTTGGTGCGCATCCCACATGGGGAAGGAAAAGGGCTGGTCCCTGCTCAGGCCTGGCTGCTCCTGGGGCTGGGGGATGAAGCCACTGAGCTCGAGGAGTGTCCCTGACCCTCCGGGTCACAGGGGTGACACCACCCCACAGCCTGGGGGGCTCTGAGACAGCAAACAGGGATCACCCTCCTTCCATGAACTCCCTGGGGATGGTCCCGTGCAGGGCCAGGACTTGGACTCGATGATCCTTGTGGGTCCCTTCCAACTCAGCATAATCTGTGATTCTTGGTTGGATTTAAAGAAACTCACTCAGCACCGGAGTTGACCAGTGTTGAGCAGCATCCCTTTTTATTGACAGCACTGGAGAAGCATTGGGGATAGCCCTCCATAAATAGCCTCCAAAGGAAATTACAAAAGCAAAAACCTTATATTTTCTAAGGTCTTTACAGATTCACGTTAAATCCCACCTTTCTATGCCTCCTTGCTATATAAGTCTTTGGTTTCTAGTCCATAAAAATCCTTTGTATGATGTAGCTTTTTTGTCTTGGATGAATTACTTCCCAACCTTGAATGTCAAATGCTGATTGGTTCCTTGTCCGTTTGAAGAGATACATCCTATTAACTTGCAAAAGTTATGTGGGTTTTTTCCCCAGTTGCAAAAGCTATGTCCCTTATCTAGATAAAAGTAAGAAAATTCTCAGCAAGTTAACCAAAAATGCAAGGTTATTACATTAGAAGTATACATGACTTCAGCTTAAAATAATTCTGCATTAGTTCTTTAATAACTATCTTCTATTTAAGTGTTAATTAAAATCTTAAAATTTAAAACTTTAAAAGAAACAACTTATCCATACTAATAAGTCCAGGCTTAATGGGGAATATACAGGATTCAGCAGCTTTTCAGCGTACAATATTTAACAGCTCTCTCTCAGACTCGATGATCTTTGTGGGTCCCTCCCAACTCAGCATATTCCGTGATGATTGTGTGATCCTTGTTTAAGACCTTACAGGTGCAGGGGGTGAAAAAAGGCAAGTCCCTGTTTGATCTGCAGCTGCTGCCACCGTAACGCTCCTCAGCTTTGAAGTGTGTCTCTGCTGCAAACACAACCCTTGGAACTCATCTGTCTCTGCCTTTGATAACACCACCCAGCTGAGTTTTCTGCTGTAACACCACTCAGGCCATGAGCACGTCAGGAAAATGCTTGAAGAGACACATCTGCTTGAAACACCCAAGTTTTTAGGTGCTTTTTCAAGTGCTTTCTACACTTGAAGGATCTGTCATGCTCTTATTTATAATGCAGCCTGATACACAAAGCTTTGTCAGTGTTATTTCCCCTCAGACTTCTGTGAAGTCTGTTTGGTGTTTTTTTTTAAAAACCTCTGCAGAGTTTGCTGTTAGCAATAAGATTTAAATATCCACGTGAAACAACTGCCTTCCTTTGTCTGTGTTCCCATGGGCCTGGGTAAGAGGGAGGCGAAGGGAAAAGCTGCCTCCTCGTGTCTATTATTCAGCACCTGGGAAGCCATCAACAACTGCTCTCCTCCTGCAAATGGATTACACCCACTTCACCCAGGGAGATGCAGGTAAGGAGTTTCCTTACTCCAGTCCCAGGGACACACACTCTTTTCTCAGGTGTTTTCCCAAAGCAGCCAGTGCAGTGATGGCTTCAAGTTTACAGTTCCTGCCCTGACTTAGTAACATTTTGCAGAAAAACTGCTTTTAACAACTAGCAGGGAGTCTTTTTTGGTTTTTTTAAGAATTTCTGTGAGGCAGCAACAGGCCTCGTGCCCTGCAGTGACCCTGTGAGCTGGAATGCTCCTGGCTCAAGGCCAAGGGAGTGAAAGTACCTCAGAAAAATATTTTGGAAGGTGGTTTTGAAGCCCAAACATGCAAGATAATGACAGCAGGGAATGAGATAGCAGAGCTAAAACAAAGACAGCTCTGTTGTCTCTAACTGACAGCTATCTCCCCCTAATGAGTGAAGTGCAGCTGGAATGCAGGGTGGGTGGGTGACTCCCCTGGAGAAGGGAAACCTCTCAAGGTTTAGGATTCCTTGCCCAAGATCCCTTACTCTGAGAGATCATTGGCTAAGTGAGTGACAGCCACAGGATTAGTACTAAAGAAACATTAATCCATGGGGCTACTCAGTATTAATTATAGATTTTATGGATATAAATCGCTGACCCTGGGTGGGACTAAGCCTGGATCCAGCTGCACCCAGACTCCTCTCTGAGACCCCCTCAAAGGGGTCCACTCTGAACCTCATGACTCAACAGGAGGGTTTTTCTTACCCTTTGTGCCTCCAGACTCTTTGTGAATCATTCTAACTTGATTCTAACTCAATTTTCTTCTGTATGTCTCTTCCATGCAGTAATTAATAAAGTGAACTTTGCCATCAAACTCTCTGAATCTTGATAAACCACTGTTAAAACTTTGAATTCCACTGAATTTACCTCAGTAAGACATATTGCTGCTTCTCTTTTTTGAGTTAGGTGCATTCCACTCATCCACAACAGTTTTCCTTTAAAGCAAAGAATAAAAATAAATCTCATTATGGAGGTAGAAGTTTATTTCTGTGAGATCTACTCTACAACCAGGCAACTGTTTGTGCTCCAGCCTGCAGACAATTCAGAGCATCTCCATATTCCTTGAGAAACACAAACTTTTTAGATGTAAAAGTCCACGTTTTTCAGCTTTTAACCTTCAAACACATAAAGCAAGAGAAGGACTGGTGAATGTTTTCTTCTCCTCTGCCCCACTTCATGTCTTGGCTGGCAAACTTACCCTCGTAGCAGGGGCTGATCGTGCCTGTCCCACAAAAATCCCACTGTTTTCTATCTTGAGAGAGACCAAAGCCACACACAGTTAAATATGGCAAGCTCTCCTTTAAAATCCTTTGCTACAAATCACATTCCAGACCCTCCAACAAGGCCTTTATTTCAAGGCATTCAGAGTTCTGGATTTTCAATAACAGTTATTAAAGAACTTATCAAAATGACCCTCAAAAAGCAGAGCCTGAGTCTTCTTGCATTGCTTTCTAAAAAAACAGCATATGGGAAATATAAACAAGCCATACAAACATTTTACACAGTAAGGTATTTTGGGGTTTGAGGGGTTTTTTGCAGTCAATTTACAGATAATCACTCTGGGCAGAGAGATACAAATATCATACAAAGCCATGAGTAAAACCTCCATCTTATTGCTCAGTTTTCTTATTAAAATGTAGAAATTCTCCTTGACACAATAAAAGTATGTGTATGCACATGTATATATATATTTACACTGTCTGTTTTGTCTCTATATTCCAAACATGAACATTTCAAATGTATTGTTTTGGTTTTCTCATGAAATGACATTATAATTTATGAACAGAAATGGACAAATATCCTTTCTCGCTGGGAGGGTTGAGAAAAGTGTAAATCTACATCAAAAATAAAATCAGGTGCTTTTAAGAACAAGATATACCTGTTAAAAAAAAAAAAACTCAAAAGTTGTGCTGTTTCCATCAACAGAGATGTCTTAAGATATGGTTATAACAGAGATTTAAAACCAAATTGAAAGTCTTTTTCCAATTACATGAATTTTAAATAACTTTAAAAAAATACAGTTCTGAAAACCAGGTTTATTCATCAAAGGAAAACAGCAGTTTTTAATTTCACAGAAAACAAATCAGTAAAAAAATCACGTTGAGACATTTAAAAAGCAATGAAGGCTTCTAAACCCAGAACTAATTGAAAGTAATAAATAGTAGCTCAAAAGCTCTACTGAACTCTGTCTTCAACATGGAAGAAGAAAATCACACGTGCCCATCTTGACTTTTCCCATCACTCCACAGCCTGTGTACCTGCAGTTGTTGAGCTGCACCCACTCTCACCCAGATCCATTTGCAGTTAAAAATGCAAATTAGGAGTTGCTTTTAGGACAGTCCCATTTAATCACTCTCTTCACCGGAGTCAAAAATGTCACTGAGTCGGAAAGCCTTTTTCTCCTGACTGGCTGATAAATCATAAGAACTCAGGTGCTTTTTTCTTAAATTTTCTTCTAATTCTGGGAGCTTGTATTGAAACAGAAAATCGATAATTTCTAGGGGGGAAAAAAAAAAGAGGGAAAAATAAGTAGTTTTAATTGAATCTGTAAGGGAACAGGAGCTCACAGATAGAAATTTAAACGTTGTGTTAAATGCACAGAATGTCTGAGTTGTTCTGATCACAGAGGCTGCAGGGACACCACTACATACAAACATGCAAAGATAAGTTAAAGTGCACAGTCAGAAAACTTTTAGAGCCAAGGTATTAAAAAGAAGAGCTTCACATGCACTGCACAAAGATGACATTGGAAATTATAAAACAAAAAACCAAACATTCAGTAAAATAAGCATAAAGCCCAAGATTTTAGCCAAGTAGGGGAAAGCTCCGTAGGAATGTATGTAAATACAAACAGCTGGGGTACTGACCAGAAAAGGTCTTGTTTTGCCAAAAAGGGACAAAGGAGACTTTAAGCTTATAAAACTGTGATTGAAGATAGGCTGAAGGGACATCTCTGCAAAGAGAAGAGGTCAAAGAATCAGTGGTGCAATGAACTGTCACAAAGCTTGGTTGTTACTGAGTCACCCATTCATGAGAGTGATGCCAGTTAAAAAATACCTTTAGGCAGAAAGGATGGAATTCAATTTGTAATTAAAACAGGTTTTCAGAACAGCAATTCCCCTTGAAGGTAAGAACCTCCACGGTGCCATTGCACACATTAAATGAAAGTATGTGGAAAAAGGGGAAGTTCAGCATTCACAGGACTGGTAATTTCATATTCAACACTCCTTTATCTGGAAGACAACTGTTCTACTGTATTACACAATGAAGAGTTTCCTGATGTGGTTAAAAGCAAGTTTCAGATCCTGTAGGGATGGTTTCCTGCTCAGTGATATGCCAGGACATACATGTATGTTGTCAAACTAAACACATGCTGTGGTTACAGAGCTCTAAGAATTTTGATTCATCTGCTTCAACTACCCTTTCTACCCATAAAAAGAGGAGGGGGAAAGGTTTACCCAACAGCATCACAGAGTTCTTCCCAGTTTACTTCATTGGCATCCTCCACTTTCATTTCATACAGCCTGTGAAGGCAAGACAGGAACAGTTTGCAGGCAGAATTCAAGACAGAATTCATTGTCCCCAGCTCCCCCAAGTCAGAAGGCACAGGACATTTAGCCCAGAGTAAAAATGGTTGAAAACCACATATCAAGCTGCAAGCAGGCTGTTCTCCCCCTGCAAGCTTTTAAAAACTAACTCAGAACCAACATCCCAGTGCCTCTGAACTGTACCTTTTAATAAGAGTGATCCTGTTCTGTAATCTCTTGATCCACGTATTGAACTGCTGCCCTTTGGACATCTTCTTTACCAGAATTGTATTCCTTTGAAAACACACAAAAACAGGTTTCTATCATTCCAAGCATCCAGATGCTACTGCTGTCACAGAGGGGCAGAAATCAGGCTTTGCTATCACAGCAAAAAGAAAATTTAATCCAGCTAGCAAAGAGTTATTTGTCTCAGACATATTTGCAACATTCTGTAGTCCACAATCTATTACACGTCCTACCAAATGACAGCACAAAACACAGAAGAAATGCTCCCCAGAACACATCTGGTTCTCTCAGGTGAGTACAAACCCTTACCATTTCTGTTTACACTGTCTCCAGAATCGACTCCCCACTTTGGTTTCAATCTCAGTCCATGGTAGTTGCTGGCACAGTGTCTCACGGTCAACCCAGAGATCCCAGTCTGGCCGTTCCACTGAGGAAGGAGAACTTCCACGTTCCACTCTTTTCCTTACCACTTCCTTCACTGCATGCTTTAACTTCTGGATCTCTTCCTTTGTCCAAGGACCATAATTAACAGCTAAGATTGAAAGAACACCAGATTGAGGCGTAATTTGTCATAAAGGATTAGGAAAAAAGGCAAAATGAGCAAGTGTTTCATTTTGCATTATTATTATTTTCAGACCAGCTTCTTAAAACACCTCCTGGAAACTCTTCTCCATACCAGACTTGAGAGTTCAGCCTCATCACTTAAAATGTGTAGGGTACATACAACATCCAGTTCTAATACAGCTTCTCAAATTGTGTTACACAGAATTAATGGCTTTTCTTGAAATTAATACCTGACTTGATTTCAGAGAATTTCATAGCAACTGAGAGGTTAGAACGGGACATCAACTCAGAAATCTTCTTCCAGTCATTGCCATGCATAGCCTGATACTTCTTTAACTGTTCTTTTTCTTCGTCAGTGTACCTGGTTGGGGAAATGGGCACAGCTGTAAATTCAAATCATTTCAATCTTTTAAAAGAGCTGTAACCTCTACTATCCATTACGTCACAGCAACTGGCATAAACAGGAGGCAGTCTTCATTTACATAAATTTTTAATGCACAAATAACCAACAGATACAGATATGAGCATTCAGAAACCCTTAAATGATTCCCTTACCTTCCTTTATAATTATTAGAGTCAAACATCTTCCTTGCTCTGTAATATATCAGCCTCCAGGGTCGGGGTATGCCCTCAGCTAGAAGGGAAAGGATCATTTTTAAGAAACATTTCTCACGCTGCTCAGGCCATTTAAAAAAAAAAAAAAAAAAGCCAAAACAAAACAAAATCAAAATCCACCACCACACATTTTCATGACTGTGCTGCCAACAACAGATTCTTGCCCAGCAAATAATGCACCTGAAGCCACAAAGCCCAAATACAAGTTTAAAACTCTCTGTTAGTGGTCTTGATATTTTATCTCTAAACTCTTCCTCACGAACATAATACTGTGAGGATTATCAACAACATCATCATCTCACCAGCATGCTCCTTTCTTGACCAAATTCAGCAATATCAGTGCTTTTCAATGAAAATCAGTTTAAAAAAATATATCATGGCATCACCAGGCTGTGGAATGGAACATTCAGCTGTTTGAGAAGGAACTAAAATACTCACAGATTTTCGCACAGAACTCGTGCTCTGCCTTGAGGTGATTGATTGTTGCTTTTTCTTCTGGATACCTGGAAGTGAACAGGAGTTTCTCAGCACTGTCCAACCCACTGATGGATAAGAACTCTTCAACGTTTTTCCGGATTTGATTGTTTTCCTTCTGGGTAAATCTGCCAAACTTGACAGCAACACCTAAAATATACAAAGGTAAAAAAAAACCCAAGTCAAACCTCAAATAGCATCTTTGATTTGTATCAGGTTTTAGCTCAGGTTTAACAAGAGGTCAACACATCCAAAGGGGAAAAAAGAAAATTGAAAGAGTCAAAAGAGTAATTTACACAAAAAACCAGAAAATATGTCAGTTGGAATGAGGTGAACCACAACAGGCATGATACAGATAATTATTTTCCCTCTGTCAAAACATGAGCACGGCCCTTCCTCACCACAACAGTATTTTAGAGAGCTCACCTTGTTTTTTAAACTCTTTAAACCTTGGCAGGTCTCTTCCAACCATCTTCTTGATGGAACTATCTGAGAGATTCTCCACATGAGGAATGAACTCCTTCAATTCTTGCCTGGCAGTGTCCAAATCCATGAATGAAGACGTGAGAGAGTCCAGGTATTCATCATCGTCCACACTCACCTCATCAGAGGCTGCCATCTCAGCAAAGGAGCTGTTCTGGCTCTTCTTTTTATTTGATGCTGAGGGTTCTGGGGTCCTGCTGTTTAAAATCAAAACCAAACATAAATACACCACCAGAACTCCAACCCAGAGGTTTTTCTTAGCATCTCTGCCACTAAAAGAGTGAACATACCCGTTCATTAAAGAACAAGGAACACTTCACAAATCCGCCCCCTTGTATTTCCAACTTTTTAACAAAAATATAATTTATTATCAAATTTCTATACTTACAATAGTCAAAGAGCTTTTCAAGCTTTAGAAAATCCACAAAACTCTCGCCCTTGGCCACACTGAAGAAATAGTGTCTCTTGCTACCACTGGCACACAGATTTTTTTTTTTCCATCTGTCCCTTTCTAGAGCACTTATTGTGGGTTCTAGACGCTGTAAAAGCACCAAGAGCTACTTACAAGAACATTTGTCTGCACAGATCATTAAATTCTCTAGCTAACCTTACTAGTTGCTTCCAAATTTAACACATGAACTCTCTTCCTTCCCCCCCCTTTTTTTTTTTTTACTAAATATGAACTGCTTGAACTTACATTATTTCTATATCTACAGCTTTTAGAAAGGAGGAAGGAGCCCACACTGAAGACAACTGTAGATTATTCTTACAAATTGTTATTGTATTTCCATAAGATAACTAAGCTTTTAAAGTAGTCTCTAACATCTCAATGTGCTGTGTAAGTTTTTCTTTAAAATACATACAAAACACAACAAAGAAAAATCTGTGGACCCAAAAAACCCACATTTTGGGGGGTGAGAGAAGGAAAAAAAAAAACACAAAAAAACCCTCCTAAACTTACATCTCATCTGAGTCTGAAGAACTTTCTTCCGTGACAAAAGCACTGCTTTTAATTGTCTTTTTAGCATGTCCTGGTGTTTTCTGAGCTTGATTAGGTGCTTTACTGGGTGTGGAAAAACCAGCAGGTTCCTCCACTGAGAGCTCACTGGTGGCAGAAGCAGCATCAGAGTCACCACCCTTGTGCCTCTGCCCCTCCTGGGCAGGTAAAGGCGACCCTTTGTCCCCTGCTGGCCTGTTTTGCCCTGGAGATGATTGGTCAGCAGCTCCATCCGTGTCCTCCTGCCCGTCCTGGGCACTGCTGCCTCTCCTCTTCTTCCTCTTCTTCTTGGCTTTCTCTCCGCTGTTCTCGCTGCCTCTTTGGGAGGGAGGCTCCTCGTGCTCCTCACCCGCCTCAGGGAGCTTTGCTTTCCTCTTCTTCTTCTTCTTGAGGGGTTTTTTGATGTACACATAATCCATAGTGCTGTCCTGGCAGTCCCCGGGGCTGTCCTGGTTCACCAGCACGCAGGTGACATCGCTCTGCTCGTCCGTGCTCTCGCTGCACTCCTGCTTCCTCCTCTTCTTCTGGGAAGCCTCCACTCCCGTTCCATTGGTAATCTCCTGGTCCATTCTCACACAATAATCAGCTATGGAAGCCTGCTGCTCCTTCTTCCCCTTGTCTGGGGCTTGTTTTTTCTTCTTCTTGCTGCCCTCCTCACCCTGCGCTGCCGCGTTTTCGAACAGCGGAGGGGAAGCTCGGCCGAGCTCCGGGTCCCCCCCACTCCCCTCATTCCCACGCTGGCTGTTGCATTCCTTGTGTTTTCTCTTCTTCTTCCTCTTCTTGAGGAAATCCTGGCCTTGAGAATCATCTGCACGTGCCATTCCTTTCCTTTTTTCTTGGATAAAAGACAGGAGTTTTATTAAGAGTGTTGTAATTTACCTACCACGACCCACGTTCGACTGTACAAACCCCTCCCCCTCCCCCCCCAAAAAAAAGCACAAAGCCCACCCAAAACCTTAAAAATCAAATGCTCCATTTTATCTTAGGAACGTTAAATGAAAACACTCACTTTTCAAACCAACTGGTTTTGCAAAGTGCCTACGAAAAACTGACGCCTTCTCTTGGGAACAGATGTGCATCACAGCTGGACTCCGCCTGGGAGTGCCTTCCTGGAACACCAAAAGACACACTTTAATAACTATTAGTTTGATTTTGAGTAACTAAGCACTGTCAGACTGTCATGATCAACTCTGCTTTCAGCACCGAAGCAGCAACAAGTTAAAATTAACAGAGAGAAATATGAGACTAATCAGCACTAAAACCCAATTCTCTAATTAGAAACTTCTGCCGGGCTCTGCCCGCGCTCAAACCGGCCGAGGCCGAACTCAGCCCTGCCCGGCTCTGTCCCAGCACGCGGCAATTCCCGAAGAACACGCTTACACAGAGCAAGCAGGAAGGACTTTCAGCACGTTTTCCCATACCCAGCTCGTAGCAAAAGTACTTACCGAGCAACACCCGCGTCACGTTCGCAACCCGAGCCTTTGAATCTCGCCGCCCCGGGGCAGTCTGCAGCGCCAGCCAGCGCCGGGCATCACCGGCCCGCGAAGGCCCTGCGGGCAGACACCGAAACGCTCGCACCCAGCTCGTCCCAGCGCCCCGTTACCGACCGACCCGCCCGCAGGCCCGCCCGAGCGCAGGGCCCCGCCGCACCCCCCGCGCCCGCCCCGCCGCTCCGGGACTACCGTGGACACGCGCAGAGCACCCAACGCGTTCTCGGCGGCGCCAGGACCTCTCAGCCTCCTCAGGGACCCCAAAACCCCTCCGGGACCCCCCAAAAACCCCTCCGGGACCCCCCCGAAACCGCCCCGGCCCCGCCACCTCCACGTGGGGTCCTCCCGCGCCGCCGTCCCCCTCGCGCCCCGCGGCCGCCGGATCTTCCGTTCCCCCGGCGGAAGCGGCCCCGGCCGGAGCCGTTAGAGCGGCGCACCGCCCGTTGCCAGGGAGACGGAGGACGCCGCGCGCGCCACGCGATCGGTGGGACCGGGACTGGGACCGGGAGAGACCCCCCCGGCACCTGGAGTGGGACTGGGAGAGACCCCCCGCGACCGGGACCGACCCCCCGGGACCGAGACTGGGACTGCAGAGACGCTCCCCGGGACCACCGAGACTCCAGTGAAGAGGGACCCCCGAGAGCCCCCCGGCCATGGGTGGGGGCACGGCGGGGCGCCGGCGGCGGCCGCCCATGACCTTGGCCGAGGCGGGCCCGGGCACCGAGAACGAGCGGCTCGGCGTGATCCGGCTCAGCATGTTCGAAAACCCGCTCATCATCAAGGTGAGCCCCGCGACCCCTCCGCGAACGGGACCCCCGGGAGGGGCGGGGGAGGGAGGGAAGGGGTCACGGTCACCGCGGCGGCTCCTCGGCGGAAAAGGTTCCTGTTAAAGTTGAAAACGGCAGGGGGAAATTGGGTTTCCTCGCTGCTCCTTCGTGTTTTAAAGTCCCGGCGGTCCCAGAGGGTGACGGGTACGGAGCTCTCCCTCGGAGGGTCGGGGGTTTCCCGGTCTGTGGTTCCACTCTTTGGGGAGCTCGGGGACAGGGATGTCTGGTTGACAGTGTGGTGATCGGTCAAAGGTCGGACTCGATGGTCTTGGAGGGCTTTTCCAACCGTAAGGATTCTGTAATTAGGATTTTCAGACCTGCTGTGGAGGCTCTGGTCCCTTGACAAACTCCTGACGCTTCTCAGTTTGTATCCCCGCCCTGCGCACCGGCCGAGCTCGGGGCTGGCCTTACGAAGTTTTAGGCATCTCCCTTCGGTTGGTTCCTCCTCCTCGACCCCCACAACCCACAGCAGGTCCCGCTTTAACCCCCGCCTGCCCCGGACCGAGCAGCAGCTGAAAGTGCAGCTCCCATCCCCTGGATGGCACTCGCGGAACAGCTTCGTGCCCGAACCAAGCGCTCCCAGCCCGGGCCCCGGCAGGGAACGAGCCCCGAGCGCTCCGGGCTGGACCGGCCCTTCTTTTCCCCTTTCCCTGCCGAGGTTCTGCTCCAAAGCCTTGTTTTCCCACTGCAGCCAGTGGTGGGAAAACTTTCCCACTTTAAGCGCGGAGTTCAGCTCTTGAGCCCCTCGGTAATCGCACCCCGGGCTTGGAAGTCAGCCATAAAAAATTTGGGATGTCACTGAAAATTTGAGTCTTTGCAATGTTCAGTAACTTTTCTTGCTTTCTCGTGAAACTCTAAAAATATGTTTGGAAATTGTATCAGGCAAAGAAAGAAAAAAAAAGGAAAAGGAAAAGCAGGTTTTGAATCAGAATTCAAAAGCAGCTTCACTTGTTCAAATCCATGGCAGGGTGTGGAACTGGATGAACTTTAAGCTCCCTTCCAATCTGGATTCCTGCTCTGTGGCCAGGTAAAACTAAAATTAGAGCAAGTTTTTTGGGAAAAAAATAGTGTTAAATTTTAGCATTCAGGACAATTCCCGTTCTCTCAGGGCTTCCTTGCAGGAGGGTGTCTGCTGGTAGGGATGTAAGGAGATTTGCATCCACCTGATGGAATCCTTGAGCCTGGAGTAACTGGGCTGTTAACAGGGATGGTTTTACTCTTGGAACCAATGGTAATTTCACCTCGTGGTAGGTTCTGTTGTAAAGTTTGTGCAAGGAGCTGCTGCCCCCAGCAAGTGCTGGGTTTACCAGGGTGTCCTTCACTGCCAGGAGGTGACAGAGAAGGGATGGCATTTGACTGGGTGAACGCTGGTACTCGGCCAGTCCCCTTCACTGGAGCACACACTGGCACACTTACAGCATCAGCCCTCTGCCACATCTCCTCCTGCTTCCAGCTGCAGTCTGTGGAGCCTCCTTCCCCTCAGGAGAGCCCTGGGGACCAGGCATTTTGGAGAGGAGGGCCAGCAGGTCCCAGCCCTCCCGCTGTGCAGGGCCACCTGAAAACCAAGGACACAGAGACGGTTTAGAAGAAAGGGACAAAAGGCTTTGAGACAACTGCTGCTTGGACAAGTGCTCTGGCAGCTGGAGCATGAGGAACACACAGCTCCAACTGCTGCCAGTCAGGCCCTCTGGGCAGCAGAGACACAGGAACCTGAGGCCCAGGAGTGATGGATGGGACACCTGGTCCCCAAAACCTTGGTGGAAGTGTGACAGACCCCCACTTTGCAGCAGCCAGCAACAGGATCTGCTGCTTTCTCTCCCAGTTCTCTTATGAATCTTCTAAATGTGGCATCAGGTATCCAAATGAACCACTGCCCAGACTGTTTCTGGCTCTGCCCAGCCCCATCCCACCAGGATGTGTCCACACACACTGGCTATCACAGATTAAACCCACCATTTTCTCACATCAAGATTTCTAGGGATAAATGCTCTATTTTTCTCTGCTAGAATGTGTTTTAATTAATCAAGGAGTTAAATTAGTTATCAATATATATATATTTGCTTGCAGCATGAAACTGAGGAAAGCATTTCATCTACTGATGCCAGTGAAAAACTGAGCAAAGCATTTTTGGTTTGTTTTCACCAATAAAAGCCTTAGCCAAGCACTTTTGCAGTGCAAACTTACTGAAAACTCCTGTGTTAGAAAAATAAACCAGCTCTGGGAAGGAAATAAAGAGTTTACCACCCTTAACCCCCGGCATGCTCAAGAGGAACTGCAGAAAAAGTTGTCCATAGAAGTCTGGTGACATTTATATTAAGATCTTCTGCACAATATGGCATAAATAAGTTCCAAAGTCATTGTGTCACCCGTGTGAAATCAGACATATCTCTGAGGTGTGAAGGTAAATGGAGAATTCAGCCCCACGTGCCAAAGCATCCTCTTACCTGTTTAAGTGGAGCCACAGGACATGCAGAAAGCAGGGAACTGCTCTCCAGGAAATGCCCTCATTGCTGAGAGGCACCTGAGCCACCCTCAGAGCCCCAACAGCAGAAAAAGTTGTTTCAGAACTGGCAGTTGTGAGGAGGAAGAGGAGGATGGTGAGAGCAGGGGAAAGGCTGGCACCAGGTCTCAGTCCAGGCTGCAGGAGAGACAGAGATTTAACAAAGAGAACTGCTGGAATGTGCACTACTTGTTTTAAAAGCTGGTTATTTACATGAAAACTGATGCCAGGCTGTCTTTATTGGTCTGAATGCCAGGCCATTTAAGATTCATTTTCCTAAGCTTCCTTCTGCAGCCCTGAGGGCTGGAATTTTTTCTTTTTTTCCAAATAGGATTGAACAAAAGCTACAGAACTCCAGCAATAAAATTTCAGTAGCTACAATCTTCAGAAGAAGAATATATGATCAAAAAAAAAGCTCACAAAACCATAGGAACTAGCACAGGAGGGTCCAGGAATCCCAGCAGAGGAAGGATTTGTTAAACCAGGGAGAGTGAACTGCCCTTTTTGTGGAGGAAGAGGAGGCACAGGAGAGCTCTCCCTGAGCTCCCCCAGGAGCTGCTCCATGCCCAGGGAGGGTGGGGGTAAGGACAGGGCACCAACCTGGGCAGGAAGGGAAGGTGCTAAAGTAGAGGCTTCCTTAAAAATACACCCATGGATGCTCAGAGAGGGCTGGATGAGCCATCAGAAACGTGCAGGGGTCGTGTCTGGGTGAGGGCTGGCACTGACAGGAGCAAAGTCGTTGCCTTTCCACAGGGCACCCAGGCAGGGCTGTCAGATCCCCTTATCCCTGCTCTCCCCAGGGAGCTGGGGCTCCAGCCACAGCTGAGATCTCAGAGCTGCTTCCATCACAACCCTGCGAGGCAGCTTCCAGAGAGTTTGGATAACTTCCCTCAGGTGTTAGCCTTGATGATTTAAATAACTCTGTTTCCTCTCCTAACCTAAACCTGCTCTCAGCTGTGTGGGATCAATACATCTGTGGAAAATTTGGTCAGGGACCAGGTTTTGCTTGGTCTGCTCAGGTGAAGGACCCCCACAACACAGAGCAGAGTGGCCACAAGTGCTTTGAGCTGCATCTGCAAGAAGGTTGTCTTATTTGGTGTTAATTATACTATTTACCTCGAATCACTGCATGTGCTGAGCATCCTGCCTTCTGTGCTTCCTGCCTGGGGACACTGAGGTTTAATTAGTGTTTAGGCAGCATTTTGTGTGCTTATTACTGTTATTATTATTACATCACTCGTACCATTATATTTTTTGCAATCTAAGGCCAGTTGTTGTGCTTTTAAAAATGTATTCTGAAATGTCTACATTGTACAGCTCAATAATTCATTAGAGAAATAAGCTAATGAAGGGCTGGTTAGTCAAATAATCATTAGGTTTGGTTCTGGGCTTTCTTTCCAATGCTCTGACTTCTAAGGGTTTTCTTCTCAGCATGAACTCATTTAAGGTTTTTAAATGAATTATTTGGTACACTAAAAATTAAACTCCTCACGAGCTTTAGTGCCCTCCCATATTTTGCACAGACACCACTGAAATAAATAAGGTGCTTCCAAGAGGCAAATAAACATTCTGCAGGAGCGAAAGGAGTGGGTTTTTTTTTTCACTCCTGGTTATTTGAACACGGGACTTGGGCAGCTTGCACACTGCCAGCTGTGATTCAGCAGGCAGAGGGACAGCACCAGCAGCACCAGGCACTCAGAGCTGCTCACCCCCAAGATCCACGTGCAGGATGTAAAATCAAGCAAAAGGGCATTTTGCTCCTTTATGTGAACAAAACAATGCAAATGGGTGAGACTAATAAGCCCAGAAACATTACAAGGTGAAAGCCTTTTATGTTTCTGAAAATCTTCTATGTTTATTTGTCTAATACAATGGAAATAAAGCTTCAAAGGCTCTTTGATTTAAAAGTGCCTTCTTGAAGTCAGCCAGCCCCGTAATAATGGTGAGACCAAATTGTTGCATTATGACCCCAATGGCAGCATTGTCATAGCAGAGAACATCTGTACAGCCTCTTGCCTCAGCTGGTGGTGATGTAAAAGCAAAAATTCAGCCAAAGGATGAGAGAATGTGGGCAGAATAGGGGAAAAAAAAACCCTAAAATGAAAAAGGGTCACAAATGGCTCCAGACATTCACAGTGCACCCAGAGCTGCAGCGGGATATAAATTTTTATGATGAACCTAAAAAACCTCAGGCTTTATTATCTGAAAGATTTAAGAAACTTTTAGGGGGAGAGCCACCACCAGTTTATAGTGCTGGCCCTGAAGCACACTAAGGCAAGAGATTATTTTCAGACTGAGGCAGGGATATTCCAAATCCTGCCAATATGACCTGAACCCACCAATCCTTCTCCAGGAACACCAACCCCAGCAGACTGAGAGCAGCACCAGAGATCCAGCTGCAACTTGTAAGAGCACAGGAATAGCTCTCCCCTCCTTCCTCTCCATCCTCAGCTTCCCACTCCAGCACCAATAAATATCCCTCCTTGTCTGGAAGAGGCACCAGAAAGTGTCCTGAGCACAGAGGAAAGGCTGGTGGGGGCTCAGTGAGCTCAGTCCTGGACAGGAGGGTGTTAGACAGGCAACTGGAGGCAGCTGCCCAAGGAAAAGGTGAAAAGCTCTTTATTTTTACCTTTCCCACAATCATCCCCTCTGTTTTGAGTGCTGCCTGGCAGAACACAGAGCAAAGGGAGCACCTTCTCAGCAATCACAGGGACCAACGTTTTCAGCTCCTCATTTTTGCAAGTTTTTAGCTACACTTTCCCCAAGGGCAGACTGCTTTCCATTCAAATTCTCAGAGATGCTCTTATGCCTAATTATTGAATTTGAGAAGCCTTTTGTCATCTTGCAGGGATTGTTTTGTTCTTGCTTGGCTGCTCACATTGTACAGATTAGACAGAACCTGTATTTCTGAGAATTATTTTCCTTTTTAACCATTTGTCCTTTATAAAATAAATTACTCTGACTTTTCTACTCACATTTATTTGAAGTAGCATAGATAAATGAAAGTGGGACTCTATTACTAGATTTCCAACAACAGCCTTTAAGAAAACTTCAATATCAAGGGAAATACCTCTGGTTTGATTTGTTTAAGCAAACCAACGCAGGATTTGTGCCTAAAAATCTTACAAGTGAAACCTGATTAAAAATAATAGTGTAACTCCCAGGCTGGGGGAATAAAAATCAGTAAAGCAAACACAGTGAACCTTGTAAAGAGCAGAGTAGCCTGTAAAAATATCACTGGGTTTTTATGAGGAGCTTCGGGCTGCTCACCCAGGTAGAAGAGCCCCTTTGTTTGCAGCTTTCCAACTTCCCAACATTTGCTATCTCCATCACCCCTCCAGCTCCCAGGAGATACCAATGGGATGATCAGGAGGTGGTTGTAACTCTGCTAATTACCACGTATTATGGGGTGTTAAAGCCCCAGTCCAGCCCAAACCAAGTTTCCCCCCATGGGCTCCATCCCTCATCTCTCATCCCTCATCCCTGCCGGGCTCTGTCCCGCCGCTCCCTCTGCCCGGAGCCTCCGAGAGGGGCTGCAATGCCAGCCCTGCCACAGCCAGGGAGCTCAAAAATCGTTCCCGGCTCATCCCCAGCGCTGAAAAGCACAGTCCCAGCTCGCAGCCGTGCTTAGTTAGCATTTAGATAGGCTGGGCCGGGGCTCTCCACAATAGGCATCAAAGCTGAACTCTTGGTGCAGCGAGAGGGATTAATTTCTTTAACCAACATGCCTGATCTGGCCTATCTCATTACCCTGCCTTGTCAGTGTCGATGTTAGATTTGATTGAAGATTATACCATTTAGGCCTTTCCCCTGTTTTCCACAGAAATCAGGCCTATTGAATTGCACATTCTTCCATGGGCCCCTGTCAATACTCAGTGGCCTGAGCCTCTAATTCTGCTTCATTTAAACTTCATCAACTTTTCCAATCAAGTGGAAGGATCTGAAATAGGCTCCGTAAGCAGAAAGGCCCTTTTTTCCTTTTGTCAGATAATTTATTCTGTTTTCTCTTTCTCTCCCCCTCGCTTCCCCACCTCTTTCTCTTTTTCTTCTTTTCGCTCCCTTTCCCTGATGCTGAAAATGAGATTACAGTATTTAAATGACTATGATAATCAATCGGGGGACCTTGAGCCGAGATTGAGGTTAATTTTTCTTAGCAGAACAAAGAAGCGTGATGCCATCGGGGATTTGAAGGTGCAATCTGTGTTTCATGCTTGTATTCCTGCCTCCCCCCCACCACCCCCAAGTCAGAAACTGCAGTTTTAGGAGTCTTTTCTTGTTTCTAACTATGCAGTTGTTATGATTTTTTTTTATTATTTTTTTTTTTTTTAAGAGGCAACCCCTAAGAGAGAAGAAATGTAATTTTGGGCTGATAAACAGCTAACAGCTTTCAATCAACAATTTTAATAAGAAAAAAAAAATCACTTACATGGTGAGACTGCACATCTAGTGAAAATGCTATCATTACCTTCTTTATTTTTAAATATATTTAGAATAATTTTCAGCAGTGCTAGGAGTAGACCTTCCAGCCTGCACAGCAGAGTTGGGAACTTTTAACTGAATCCCCCTTTCATCCAGCCACTCTTCCTACTGAGGAGCTTTCTTGGTTGCCTGGAAAAAAGTTGAGACTTTTGTCATGATTTTGCTAATCAGAAATGGAATCGCTTATGTTCTGCTTAGAACCTGCCTTGAAATGGCTTGTTAAGTCTTTAGATGATGTATTTTTGGTTGTAACACGCCAGCATTCGCTCACCTGGATCGTTCCCATTCCCTGCTCTGGAAGAGAGAAAGAGAAAAATATGCATTTCTTTGCTTCCATCCTAGCTGTCTTGTCAGTGCTGTTTTACATGCTGCCACCCAATGTTATCTTTTATTTGTGTCAGGAGAGAGGATTTGACAAGTTCAGTATACAATGTTCATTTGGCAAGGCAAATTTTTCATACCAATTTTGAGTAGAAAATGAAACCATCTTTCAACACAACGAGCGACATCATTTTTGGACAGACTTATTATGAGAAGAAGAATTGCAAAACTTTATTTCCCTGCACGATCCAAAAGAAAAACAAACCTGGAAATGAGACATTTAAACAAACAAACAAACAAACAATAATAAATACGGGTATGAATGTTTGAGGCCACCAGTTTGTTTTAGAAATAAAATAAAAAAAAAAAATAACCACCGGCTGCTGTCAGGTAGCTGTGGCCTCCTTTTTGTTAATCAGATGCTGCTGAATTTGGTTGCATCATAATGTAGCTTTGTTTCCAACCTTTTAAGCTGTCAGACGATTGGGGAAGGCAGATCAGACCGACCTGAGAAGTTTGTCAGCGTTTGCCAAGCAAAGCACTCTTTAGTCACCAGTGCAGGCTGAGCTTTGGGAAGGGGCTCAGAGCCAGGGAAGGACCAGGGGCATTTCAAAGGGCTCTGGGTGTTTTGCCTCCCTCCCCCTACCCAGAATCCCAAACGTAACTTCTGGCAGTGCTAAACACTCTGAACAAGCCAATTAAAGTCAAACTCTCATTGTAAATTCTGCTGTCCCAAGTGTCTCACAGCAGGTTCCTTCGGGATGAGCTTTGGTTTCTGACAGGCCCCCACCACGATGGGCTTCTGCTCCACCACAAGGACTGGCTGGTGCAAAAACTGCACAGGGATGACCCAAGACAGTGAAATAAATATTGCCTAAGGAAGACCAATGCATTAAAAAGGGCTGTCAGACCTTCAGTGGGTGACAAGTTCATTTTAGCCCCCCAGGATCCCTGCAAGGCTGGGAGGTGCAGCCTGGGAGTCACAAAGTCCACGGGAAAAACCTCAGCCTGTTCTGGGAATTACTGGAAGGATCTCTGATGCCCCAGCTACTCCCCACTGGGAATTTTCCCCCCAACCAAAGCCCCAAGATGCCTGAACAGCCTCACAGACTTCTCTCAGGCAGTGGTTTGCTCCAACAGTTTCCTCTCTTTAAGCAAATGTTGACTCACCACGGGGAAATTAAAACTCCATTAGGCTTTGCCACATTGTAGAGCAGACCCCATTACAGCGGGCGAGCTGCAATTAATTGGTTTCCTCAGATATTACTTAATTCTGGGAAGGCACAGCTAGATGGGAAGGACAGGGCTGATCTAAACAATCATTTCCTAAAATAACATAATCTAAATAAACTAATGAAGTGATTACATAGTTATTAATCTAAATATGAAGAAGAGGCAAAAGAAAATATTGGGTATATAACAATTTAGAAAGAACAGTGGAGTTAATATCATTCTGGTTAGACTCATCATGAGGCAATCAGCATTTGTGCTTAGGGATGGATGCTGGTTTAGCAGATTAATTATATTTCATGCAAAAAGCTGCCATTTCAAAGAGTCCCATCTTCTGCTAATTTTGGCCTGTTGTTCATTCTACTCAACTTTTCAACACACAGATGGAAGGGGCCACTGCCTACGTGGCAGTGCAGGTTTGGGGGTTGTTTTTTAAATGAAGTTAATTTTGGATTAGGAAATGTAAAGCAAAATAACCACAAAAACCTGCTCCCCTGTGTGCAGATAGAATAATTACTAAATTGAAAATATTCTGGCCCAGGGAGGGCCCTGTGCAGAGAGGCAGTGGGGAGCTGCAGGCTGGGGGTGCCTGGGCAGCAGTGCCTTGGGTGCTGTGGGGGTCCCCAGGGCCATGTGGGGTCCCCCAGCCTGCTGCCAGTGCAGGGAGCAGATCCAGGCATCTCCCTGGGAGCTCTGCTGTGCAAAGCTCACTCCCTTGCATTATCAGGCTAGAGAAAGGATTTGGCTTCAGGAGAATAAATAACTAGGCCTTATAAGTCATTAAAAATGTATTACAAGAAAAATACAGTGCAGCTATAAATAGAAAACAAAGCAACTCCTATATAAACTTTTACAATGACTGTTACTCAGACTATTTTTCACTGTCTGGTTTTAAGGGAGTTTAGCATCTGTGATCTCTGGAGACTGAGATCCCTTGAAGCTGCAGTTCTGCTGCTCAGGCCTGGCAGTGCTCTGGCCTCTGTGAGGCTCCCCCAGTTTGGATGGTGGCACTGGGTGACAGTAGCTCAGCTCTGGGACCTGCTCAGCCTCTCGGAGCTGAGATGGAGACAGAGGTTCTGATCAGTCCCAAACTGGAATTTTGGTGTTCCCCTCCTTTTTTTTTTTTTTTTTTTTAAATGGAAATATTTTACTTGTTTCTAATTCCCTTACATTTGTGACAATCTGACACAGAGCAGTCACCTCCATAAAAGATATCACCTCTCCCTGCAAACCTCCACAGATACAGACCTTGACTTAATATAAAATAACTATATAGTGGTGTATCATTACTGTCTTCCTTTTTGTTGTTAAAAATAGTTCACATAGGCAACATCAAGCATTCAGACTAATTTTGAAACCTTTCTTCAGGAATGTACACCTTTTTTTGCCACTATTATCTCCACATTCTGTTCAGTGCTTCAGCTGAAGTCAGGGCAGGCTTGCTTTCAGGGGGAGAGGAACTTGGTATTTTCAGACTTCAGTTTTAAGATCTTTTGTCCTCTGTCAAGCAATAAAGTGGAAGAATTAGGTGGTTAATACACCTTAATGCAACGTGGCAACTCAGCAGCAACTTTCAGCCGTGGGACGTTATGACTTTAAACAATCAAATCCTGACTGTGATCCCGACACAAAAACTCCACCTTTTGGTATTCACAGCACTTAAACTCCCACGTGTAGCTAATAGGTTGCTCCAAGGGAAAGACTGAGCTGCCTTGGCTGGACAGTGATGAACAATTAGAGGTTGCAGCATCCAGGTGTGCTGAGGAATCCGTAGTTAAATATTCAGGTCAGGGAAAGTAGGCCACGGATCTAAATGGGGACTCCTAATAGTTCTAATAATCCTAATAGAGTCCTAATGATCCTAACAGAGTGGTGGCTTCTTGGTAAGGAGGACGTTTTGTGCGGCTCACATCTTTAAAAAATGGGATGTTTTCGTCACTGTTCTGCTGGACACAAAAGAGGGAGATCCTGCAGTGTGGTCCAGAATGAAAATGTTCTGTTCATGTGCACGACTGGGAAATATCCAGGGGCTGGGAGGCAAGATCAGATCTTCCCAAGTATTGGGGTATTTAGGATCTGTTTGGTTCCATTAATGCATCTCTGATTCAGGATCCTGCAAGAGGGTGAGAGATCTTGGTTTGCATCTAATCCCTGATTGCAATGTAGTGACTCAAACCAGTTTGAAAATAAGCCTGGGCAGTGCACTGGGGTCATTCACGGATGTGAGGGAAGCAAATTAGCTCTTCTGCATGGACCCAGCCATGGAAACTGCTGGCTGCAAACACTGGCTGAGGATTTCTTACTAGGACAGACCCTTTGGGCTAATTCCTACAAAAATGTGAAACTCAGCAAGTGAGAATTGGGAAAAGCAATTTCCTCTCCGTGAAATGTGGGCACTCACTTTGTTTTCTTCCTAAACTCTCAAGAACCTCTTTCCACAATGCTCCATCAGCCTCCCCCAGTCGGGGTCTTGTTGCCCACCTCCCTCCTAGGGAGGTTGTTAGCGGGCTGCAGTCCCTTTAATTTGGGAATTTTCCAAGTAATTCTAACCTGGGATGTTGGAAAACCTGTGACCTTATCTACCGTGTCTATCCCATCAGATGTGGTCCTGTGCTTTCACTGCCTTGAAAACAAAGGGGAAGAGAGTTGAACACATGGTATCCTCAGCTAGAAAGGGCTTTGCTGTAAGAGGATATTGAGTTGTTTTGTAAAGCCCAATATTACGCTTGAATTATGCCTGAATAAGGAGAAAGGACATTGTTAAAGAGCCCTAAACATTGACCAGAGTGGATCTTCTTTCCTGCAGCCCCTTCAGCGGTGTTGTTTTTGGCTGGTAATGATTTGGTATTGTATTTATAAGCCGTCAGGGTAATCCAGAGAGCAGCAGGAGGGGCAGTTGCCTTAAATAAAGCTTTACAATGCTGCTAATTAAAATGATCCTTCCTCTCCCCGTGACGACTAATGAGACAGAAAGAAGAACCGGGGAGGGTTAATGAAAATGTTGCCATGAGATTCCCTTCCCCATTTTTAATTGGTCTTTTTAATGTTTTAATCTTCTTTACGGTGTGGGGGTGGAGGTGGAGAAATTTTCTCTCAACCTTCCTTGAACCGTGTCCAATAGGTTGGAACACGTGGCATTTGAAAAGTCCAGCTCCAGCTTTTTATTCAGAGTCTGTAACCAAAGGTCTGAGGCTGAGCGTAGCCTTGAGATGGCAGAAGCAATTTTGGACTTAACTGAGACCAGAAACAAGAAATGTGAAACCTGTTTTTCAGCTCAAGCTTCCCAAACTCCAAGGGAGCATCCGTACCCCGAGGACGGAGGCCAAGATCTATTGTGAGGGATTGGCACTGATGCTCAATAGTATTTAGAGCTTTAGGTCATGATGCTCTGTTAAATGCAATATTTATCCCATGAGCATGTCACAGTTCACCTCAGATGTCAAGAATTCAATTAATATTCTGTTTAATAGAACACACCATGACCTAACCTTTTAATACTCTTAGTGTGTCTGAGCCCTCCTTATTAGTGTCACTCTCTAACTCTCCTCAGCTGATGCATCTAACAACAACTGGGATGGGGAAATTGGGAGCAGGGAGAGAGGGGAAGAGATTTAAATTACTTCTGGACCTCACTGTGAGGGTTCAGCAGCTTTATCCCTTGTAAAACCCAGTTCACAGGGGCTTGGCACACCCCGCTTTTCCCATTTTTACAGGGTTTGTGTCTTGCAAAGCTTCAACTTCCTGCCAATTCAAACCCACAAAAGGCACAGCCAAATTTCTCACCCTTTGAGCCCGGTGCAGTTTCACTGAAATTGCCCCTGCCTGACATCACATTATCAAACCCTGGGGTCAGGGGAAACCATTCATGTGAGTAACACCTGCAGGATCCAATCTCTGGCTGGAAATTTCGTCTGTGCGCTG